GTAAGGCTATAGTGATGTTGAAGCTGTTAATGGACCTCCCCCCGTGTACATGCCTCCGCCCCCCCCCCCTTCCATGCATGTCGAAGACCAGATGTTTTTGGTACCAACAAAATTAAATAAATAAATGTCTCCGACCATAGACTGATAGAAGATTGGATGATGGGGTCTCGGAAAACCAAGCACAAAGCCAAGGGGGTAAGTTGAGAAGAGCTAGATGTTGTCCCTATGTATCAGGTCCACTCTCTCCCACACAGCTGAAGGACCCAAGGGACATGACGACTTAGCAACCAGAGTTTCTTCCAGGCATCTCTTCGGGGACCGCCCCCACCCCCCCGGAGAAAGTCTACCGCCCCCTGAGCGAAATGGAATTTATATAGAAAATATATACTTTTGGACAGTGTCCGCCCCCCCCCCCCCGGAGAAAAAAAGTCTGGAAGAAACAATGTTAGCATCAGCTTGTCTCTTGGGTTGCCGAAAGGAGACCAGGGTTGGAAATCCTATCGCCTGTTATGAGTTTTCTATTCTAGATGTTGTTGCTGCCTTATCTGCAAGGCGGTTCGAACGCGGACTTTTAACAATGAAATTATAATCTAATTAACTAAATGCTTCCCATTGTACTTTTAAAAGAAATAATGATACTTCTTTTTAAAAATTAAATCAGTAGTTCTTGTGGGCATATGCCTTTATTAAGCCGTTTTTTAATCTCCTAAAACGAGATCAAAGTCTCTGTCGCTTTTGGCGCCCTTGGTTCAGCCGTCCTCCCCGCATCCCACCTCACTAGTTCGAGAGCCAAATAAACAATACCACGTGATGTGTGTAACGCATTCAGACTTAATTATAAACCATCTCAATCAAAAACTTTAATTCGGCCATGTTTTTTTTTTTCATGTCAGTTACCTTGAAATCACACCCCCGCCCATTTTACCCCTTTTCACAATTGCCGTCTCTTTGAAGTTTAACAGTTCAGTTGTAAATAAAATCAAGTTTAGTTTCAACTAGACATCCCGGATGGCAAAAGAATTTTGATAGTCCTGGGCCAGACAAGGACATGGGGTCACCAGGTCCTAACCTAGTTGGTCAAGTGTGTCCTTATTGCTTGTAAACAAATCCACATACCGTCGTTGTAACGAACTGCAAGTCAAATAAAAACTAACATTAAAAAAAAACAAACAACGACACAAAACTTTGATTATAAACAACAAAAACGACACAAAACTTTGATTATAAACACCAGACGTGTTGCTTGTATTTTGTGTGTGGGGTTTATTTTTTGTCGTGCACTGTGTTGCCACGTGTTCCGGTTAACCGTTAAAGCCGAAAATGTTTTCACATGAATTGATAAGTAGGATAGTAATGCCACATACATTTGTAGACAGAAGAAATGAGGTCGCGTCGTGACCTTACACACCCCAACAAGCAAGGTCAAAGTTGAATTGAACGATGACTTTATGTATGCACGTAGAGTTTGTGTCAAACCATTTTATCATAATCCAGTAATTATTACAGGCTACACAATCATTTTGAAAAAAAAGATTAATTGAATAGTTTTCAATTTAAAACGTCTGTTCATTAAGAACACTTTAGAGGTTCCAAAATAGTTATTATTGAAAAGATTAACACATTTCAGACCAATGAAATCCTATTTCAGGTTTAGGCCTTCTGGCTCCAGATTTAGACCTACTGGTTTCCGATTTGCTCTAGATTTAGGCCTTATCTGGCTCCTGATATAGGCCTTCCAGATTTAGTCACCGGGTGACACAATTTAGAGGGTGACACCACGACGAAAAATCGAAAATAAATTTTCTGTCACAACATTGTTAAAATAACAAAGCAGTAGTGGGGGGGGGGGGGGGGGGCAAATCGGAAATGCTAAAATATTAGAGGGGTGGGGTGGTGGTGACACCCTCAGTTAAGGCAACCGGTGACACCCGACCCAGTGACGCTAGTGATCCAATATACCCATAGACTTTTTTCTACACAAATACATGGGAAGCGGGGCAAATATGAGTATCATTATACTTAATTATACTTACATTAAGTGAAGTAAACCCCCCCCTCCCCCCATAACCCCTGTTTAAATCACGCTAATTTCAACATGTTGGCTATAAACTAAGGGAACACCCGCACAGTTTCTTCCAGGCATCTCTTCGAGGGGGGGGGGGGGGGGGCAAATATATACTTTTAACAGTGTCCGCCCCCCCCCCAGGAAAATTTCAAGTGCCCCCCCCCCCCCCGGAGAAAAAAGTCTGGAAGAAACACTGAACGCCCGTAGCGCCGAAAACCTAGGTACGCCGCTGTACCGCCCGTCTTAGTTGGCGACAATTCGGAGGGATTAAGGATTAAAAGAAATCAACCAGTCTACTGAGCAGTAGCGTACGCAGGGGGGGGGGGGAGCAGGGGGAGCGGCCGCTCCCCCTCTGGCCATTTTCAGCAAAGTGGCGCCTTTTTGGAAACTTTTTAAACTCAAGGTTTTAAACAATGATATTTGTTAAAAAAAATATTTTTGGTCGGCACATCTATGTAAATCACAAGATTTCTTTTCATGCAGCAATTAAGCATTATTGTACTAGTCTAGTAGTGTCTACGTTTACAACACGTATTAACAGCTGCATCAGTTTGCCATTCTAAAAATAACCATTACGATGCATTGCAATGTTTAAAAAACCTCTACGGGTTGTACCACTTGGCAAGAGGGGTGTTAAGTTTAAGGCAACTGTATAATGTGTTTGCTTACGAATAATTGAATTAGAAAATGTTATATATAAAACTTCACACATAATTACTTTATATATACAGTTTGAATCGTGTGATTAATTTAAAAAAAAAATTACAATACAGAAACAAATACAACTGATGTGGCACCTCTATTTAAATTTACTTATGAGCTAACTGCGTAGTGGAGGGGAAATTTTGACAAGGTCAACAACATCATCACGATGAAGTAGTAGTATTCTTACAGTTTGGGCGATAATGATTACGATTACAAATTATATGAAACAGTTACAACCCCCCTCCTCCATGGACCCCTCTGTAAAAACAAATATTGTCATAATACCATAATGTATTCTGTAATATATATTTGTGTAATATATATGAATGTTTAGAATAGTCATCTAAAAACTGACACTACGTTTACTCTGAGTTGGTTATCTCCCCCCCCCCCCCCACACCTCACCACCACAATAGTGTAGAGCGACATTAATGTCACACCTAGGTATACACTGGGTTGGATAATTGACCTAAAGTGAACGGACAGTGGTGAATGAAGTTGAAACTCCCCCCCCCCCCCCAACCCACCCCGAACTGATCCGTTAAGTACATATAGAAAAACGCGTAATGATGTACCAAAGTACCATGCCGCCAGAAAATTAGCTTTTTAAACGTAAAACTGTGAATATTGTTTTTTTGCAATTACCAGTAAAAAGGTGTGTGATCAATACAGTGATCTAACCCATACCTATCACTATGTTAAAAATTATCTTAAAAGAACACATAGAAGCAGTAGTTAATTTAAAATATATGATCCGAACTAAAAGACTGATATTTAGTTAAATGTAGGCTGTTATTCTGAATGTTTTTCTACTCAATCGAAAAGCGTGGTTTTATACCAACTCTGATTTTAAAAATTTTCATTATGCTGTAATACTTTAGCATTTATGATGACGATATATTACATTTTGATTAAAGACAAAAACATGTTGTAAACACGAATAGTGTTAAACAATTTCATTATATTCTAAAGTAATTATTTATTTATTTTGACATTTATAATTAAATTTGTAGATATATACATATTTATACTAAGAGAGTGATTATTTCCCCTATTTCACTTGTCTTAAATAATTTCCCAGGAATTCTTATGTAAGAATTTTTTTTTACAAGCATTACAAAACAGATTGTGTTACGTTCATTGTTTTTGGTTGTAGTGTGTGTATATATTTTTTTATTTAGATTGATACAATTTTTGTTTTGTCGGCCTACATTGTGTGTTTTTTTCTTATTTCTTCAGAGTGCTACTTTCAATTTATTTTACACCATAGCGATGTAATGACATACAGCTAATAATTATATATATATATATATATATATATATATATATATATATATATATATATATATATATATATATATATATAATACACGTATATAGAACGTGTTAAAAATTCGGCGCCTTTTTTTGCTCTTTTCGCTCCCCCTACAACGAAAACCTGGATACGCCTCTGCTACTGAGCTTTATAAATATTAAACTAGGTAAGTAAACACACAGAACTTTAGTCGGTTTTGTGGGAACACTTTCACAGCTTGTAGTAGGCCTATCTATAGTTGCAGACATTTTCTCAAGCCTAACTTCAATTAAGTTAACTTGGGTTATAAACTGTAGAAATTAAAACACAGGTAGATCTAACAGCAATGTTGGATTTCTTTAAAAAATGTTATATTTTGTGCTTACAATATTATATTTTGTGCTTACAATATTATTAACTGTTGTAGGCCTATCTGATGAAACCTAATAAAATAAACACATTAATAAACATACTTTTTTTAAAAACTGTAAACAATACTGCTTGCTTGCAAGGCTAGCACCTAGCACCAAAATCGTAATAAAACTAATTTCTAGAAGAAAGCAGTATTATTTTAACCTAAGTAACACCATTCCCCTATATTTGTCTCCCTTTGTTGACATTGGTTTTGGACAAAATGCTGTTGACGATTGAATAACTTGTTTCGAAACCTATTTTCCAGCTTGGTTTTTATTTTATACCAGAGGAAGATGTTAAAAATAAACAATCTTTGTGCATCTGTAGGCTAATAAGAAAAATAAGCAAAATATTTTATCTGTGTTTTTTGTGTAGGCCTAAACCAGATACAAACTTAGAAAAAGAACTTTGACCAACATTCGTGCCCTTCTTTTTAGCCTGGTTGTACTGGTAGATAGTGTAGATCTAGATAATATTACGCGCCGTATTCTTATGAATATTCGAGACTGCCAGAGACCAGGAAAGTCGCAGTTTAAAAACTAAAAAGTAAAAAACTTTAAAAAGCCAAGGATTCCTTGGAATAAGTTGGATTGGCAAGGAAATACAAAAGGTAGATTAATTTATGATGACTATTTTATTATAGGCCTAATTTATGCATCCTTATTAATATTATGGAGAAGTCTAGATTCTACTAAAACTGTCTAAAACTAAGTCTAGAACTTGAATCTAGAGATCTGATCTAGAATCTAGATCTAGAAATCTAGATTATTTTATAGGCCTATCCTAGATCTCTAGATTTATAAATTATAGGGCATAGGGCCTAATAATTTTAATTAAAATAATTAATTAGTAATAGGCCTAATTAGGCTCTCTAATGTAATTAGTAATTAAAAATAATTATTGTAGGCCTACTGTTAAAGTAAAATGGAAATTAATTAATTACTAATTACTATTAGCCTAGGTCTAACTAATAAGTAGTTCTAATTAGTAGTAATTAGCCTACCTAGGCTAATTAAAACTAATTATTAGCCTAGTAGTAATAATAGTATAGGCCTATCCTATATTCACTATAAATTATTAATTAATCTAGGGCTAATTTTAAAATTATTAATTAGGCCCTATATGGCACACTAATTAATAAGTAATTATATCATTATTATATTGTTATTGTAGCCTACTAGGCCCCTATAGTGCTCTATACTTACTATATAATATATGTAATAATACTCTATAGTCACATACTCTTATACTCAAATACTGTCGGCTATAAGCCTATCTATTTATATAATTCTCTTCTTGGATACCATAGAAAACACCAAGCTGTAAGTGCGCCTAGCACCCCCCTCTCTTCCTTTCTAGGCATATCTCTACCACCCCCACATGGTCTGGTGAGCTGTGGTTCACGCTAAATGTTTACAATCGTAGAGCCGGGTTTAGTGACGGCTATTAGGGGCAGATAATTTAGTTTCAAACGATTTTAAACTTAGGGGAGGTAACAAAGAGGAGGCTGCTTTCACGGGGGGGGGGGGGGGGGGGTGTAGGGTAGGGGTTGGGGGAAAGGAGTGTGGGGGGGTATCGTCCTTAACGACCTACTGATAGTGTTTTAAAGCAAATATTTTCAGTGGCAGCATTGGTACTGTCGAATTCACCAATTATGAATTACTAAAAAGTAGAAAATAAAACTAAATAGCGGCATATGATATGCAGCGGGTCGGCTCGTAATTATATATTATATAAAATATATGGCCTATTACAAAAGCATAATTCTATTTACCAAGTTACTAAGCCTATCTGTGATCTAACTAGTAAACTTAAGGCCCTATCTAATTTAGTTATTTACTTTATCAACTAATGATATTATTTTACTCTGTAATATTATATGGAACTATGTGTTTGGGAGGTAGTTTGTATGAGTACTAGCCAAAAAGTCTTATGTACGGACCACTTGGTTTTTCTAATCTGTAGGACATCCCTAAGTCTACCCTACCCAGCTTTGCTGAGTACCTGACTTATAATTTTTAATTAAGGAAAGTAAATGTAATCTGGCACAGAACTGACCACACTATCTTTTTATGAAGTTCACAAAAACAGGTAAACTGTACCCCCATTTTAAAAAGGGTAACTTAGTAAACTTACTTTTAACACTTACTACACTTATCTAGATTTAGGTCTATAATTATTTTATAGTTAAATTATAATTTATAATATAGGCTATTATTAAAATAGGATAGACCTAAAAATGTTGTTTACTTTGCATATTACAAAGATTGGCCTGTACATCAAGGAAAGAAAATGCATACATTAAAAGAAAAAATACTTTGAACTATATTCAGATTAATACCCATAATCATAATTTAAAGTGTCAACATAGGTCAATAAAGACAAGATCCACATCTCTTTCTTCAACTGTGAACTTATATATATATATATTCTTGTATGCCAAAACATGTTCTAGATGTGAACTTTATGCTTCTATTTGCATTTTGTTTAGTATGATATTTCTTTTTTTTCTTTAACATTTGTGATGAATATAACTTTTCTACCTCTTTGCCGAAAAGCCCGGAAAGGTGCTTAAAATTTCTTTCGCAATTGTTATTCAATAAATTAAACAATTATTTCCTATAAATGACATTCTACTAATTGTTTTGATTTCAGTCTGAACCTCTTCTGTTTTGGGAAAGTAAATTTCTTATGTGTAATACAAAGCACTCAGAACCTGACCATGGTGAACGAACACTTTACCGGGCTGGAAGAAATAATAAAATGTGTGGTGGTTGGTGACTCTGGGGTGGGCAAGACTTATCTAACATGTGCTTACGCTTGTAATGCCAAGTACAGCCTGGAAAAGCTGGTCAAGACTCACCAGGCCACAGTGTGGGCTGTAGACCATTACCAGCATGATAGAGAGGTAAATAGTTGATTGAGATGACTTGGTTTTTTTTAAAATCTTAACAAGCTTTAACACTTGGATTCAGAAATATAAAATATTTAACTTGTATATTCCTGCCCCTCTTTTTCGTTTTTAAAACCTAAAAAGTTATGTATTAACTATACATTAATACTCTTAAAATTAATAATTATATTATTTTGAATTGTGCATATGTAGTGTGAGTTAGTTTATTGCTCATCTATAAAATCTGTGTTGTCTCACATTCTTTTGTAATATTAATAAACAATATAATTATATTGTCTGTGTGTACTAATTCCATTTACACACACACACACACACACATATATATATATATATATATATATATATATATATATATATATATATATATATATATATATATATATATATATATATATATATATATATATATATATGTATATATATGTATATATATATGTATATATATATATATATATATATATATATATATATATATATATATATATATATATATATATATATATATAATATGAGTATATTTGTGCATTAGAGAACAATAGCTAGAATATCCACATTTTATCAAAGTGTGGACATGTTAACCTATTTACTGAAGACTAACTTGAAAAGGTCAAGGTGCCTTGTATGAGCTCTTATCTGGGGTAAATAGCTTGACCTAGAAAATTGTGTGCTATTTTTTCTTCTCATGTAATTTGACACTATCTATCTCTCTCTTTATATAAATGTATTTGATATTGTACAGATTCCCATACAAAATGTCTTTGCAAAATTTATAATTAAAATAAAACTACTTTTATTATTGCTTGTTATGGTAAAACTATGAGTTAATAACAATTTTAAAAGTTTGACTCAGGAAATCATTTTAATGAAGTTTTAGAAATTTACTGTAAAATTATGATTAAAATAGACCACTTGACATATTTAGTTAAAAGATACAGCATTTGCTATGACCTAAAATACCATGTTGTTTAAAAAGTGTCAAGTAGAGCACCTGTTTCTTATCAAGACAAACCAAGTTGTTTTTGTTAAAGTACATATCTTAAACAACAATAATCCTGACTCACTTTTAGGCTAGAGTACAAATAATAATTTCTGAAAACAAAACAAGATACTCTAGTTTTTGGCTTGAACTCTGGTGGCACTGACCTCACTTGTTTCATGTTGGCCATTCATGGAGACAGAGGTGAACTTTGCTGTGGGTCACTTCTCTCTGCTTGACCCTCTCAGACAATCTGTGTTGGTACCAACCTGGTGGCAATGACCTCAATTGCTTCATGTGGACCTTTCATTGAGCCAGAACTTTGCTCTGGGTCACTTCTCTCTGCTTGACCCTCACAGACAATCTGTGTTGGTGCCAACCTTGTGGTACTGACCTGCCTTGGAGCTAATCTCTTTGACAGATACCTCAGTAGAGCTGTTTTATGCGTACTTAGAGGTCATTGATAGGATACAACTTTGGCAGGCCCACGCTAATGAGAGCACTTATGTTCACTAAGAGCTTAGTTATAGGGTACAACTTTGACAGATCCATTATTGTTAATACAGGGACAGTCCTCCCTGTTCTCCCCAGCCTATGTTTGCCACTTCTTTATTTGCTTCTCCTACTAAAACAAGTAGACCCACACCCATAATTTAATTACAGATATTCATCAATAACTTTACAGTTATGGTCCTAAAGTAGCTCATTCTACCAATTTCTCTGGCATTGTCTTGTGTTAAAAAAGTTTTTTCGTTTCATATCTTTTTTTCATATCCTTGTAAATTCCATATTTTTGTTCACTTTACTCTGTACAAAGTATTCGAGAAACTCTTTGATCTATGGTTGTTCAGAAATTGAAAGCTGACATACATTTTTTTTTCACTTTATAATTTTACTCCATCATTTAAATAAAAAATTCTATTTATTCTCATCAATGTCAGATTCTGGAGCGGTCTTTGTGTGATGTAGATGGATGTCCAGTTTCAATGCGTATCTGGGATACATTTGGTTATCATGATAAGGACAGGGGATTTGCATATAGAGAGTAAATCTAACATATTCATCGTCTTTATGTTAATTCATTAGTTATGTTCAAACAAAATCTACTTCTGAATGTTAATTTTTAGTCTTTTTAAAAATATAATTTACAATGATATGTTAATTTTATTATTATGTTTTTAAAATAGTGTACATTTTTATAAAATTCTTTAGTTAGGTTTGTAAGAATAAAAAAAATAGTTAAGTACAGACATTCTTATCAGCCTGATTGAACTAATTTAACTATTTTGTTTTGGCAGAGCGGATGTGATTGTGTTGTGCTTTAGTGTTCTTCAACCCAATTCTTTACGCAACATTCAGAGGGTTTGGTACCCAGAGATCCGCAGGTTCAGCCCCACCACACCTGTAGTCCTGTGTGGCACCCAGGCTGATCTCAGATATCTTTGTTTTGATGAGAATCACATTAATATGGAGAAGGGATTGCTCTTCAAGTATGTGTGCAAAAAATGAATTTTAAGTTTTTTTTTTTAAAATGAATTGCATGCTAAGTATATTAGTTTTTACAGTTAACTGAATGAAAACTAAAATGAATGAAAAAACTTATTTTTTTTTTAAGGGTGGATATTTAGAAAAATTAATTTCCTTTATTTAAACTATATTTTATTTTTCAGACCAATTTCACCTAATGATATTATTATACCAAGCGTTGGCAGGGAGGTTGCAAAAGACATTGGGGCACCCTACTACGAGTCAAGTGTTCTGAACCACTTTGGAGTTTCTGATGTATTTATTAATGCAGCACGGGTAGCTCTAATTGAGCGTCGCAAAACAAAATTTTGGAACACTCACCTGCGCAGAATCCAGCGCCCTCTAATCCAGCCCCCAATGACAATGCCTGTCCCTGGATTTGCTGGCATTAAAATAGCAAAAGCTTTCCTCAAATCTGACATTTCAGGCCTGTTAAACGACAGGTCGGAGTGTGATGTCATTTTTCTCGTTCAGAACACCAGACTTGAAGCTCACCGTATTTGCCTGGCGGTCAGCTCAGTATTCTTCCAAGAACTTTTTTCCTTAGAATCTTTAATGAAATACAAAGCCAACAGAAGAAGGAACAAGCTTTTATGCCAAAAATTTCCCAGGAGGTTTAGCCCCAACGACAGTGACTTTATAGAAAGCGACCTGGACTCAACTGACACGGAGTCAGGTTCCCAGACGTCGACGTCTGACGACTTCCTATCCGGCTCCATGCGCTCATCCACCAGACACCACCCAACATTCCCAATCATCATTCCCTACGATCACAAAGCCGTGGAGACCATTGAGATCAGCTACGAGGAGGATCCCTACTACCCTTCGCACAAGATACTCCGGACGTATATATCACTGAGCAGTGATATATCAGCAACAGCCTTCCACGCCCTTGTTGAGTACCTTTACATTGGGAGCCTAGAGAGTGAGGTAGATCTCAATGAACTTAAGAAAACTGCTGAGCTGCTCCAGGTAAGAAAAAACATGTAGAACATTTGTAAAAAAAAAAATTGTTAGTATGGATTATTCTTGATTTTAGACTATTAACAATTAAATTTTGGTAACAACCTGCTCAAAAAAAAAATTAAACATTAAACATTTTTAAAAATATTGAAAACATTGTTTTTATATTATAGTTAACCTTTCTTAATATTGTATGTTTATTTAACTTCCTTAGGAAAAAATCTTTTTAGAATAGCTATTGCAAATATCTTGTAAAACATTTTTTTTTAATTATTAAATTTTCATGGTGTGTAATATTGTAAACTAATCTGTGCTATTAGAAAAGTCATCAATTTTCAAATATTTACAAGTCATTAACCCTTTCAGAAGTAAGGGATTTAGCAGTCTGTATCATCAAGCAATGGGACATAACTCCGTTTTTAAAAAACATTTTTATAATCAATACACATAAGCTTTGCAATTCCAAACAATCTAAAATTAGTTTAACTCTTTAGTTTTTCCATAGCATACAATATTATAATTAGATCTTGCAGGACTACTATAGAAATAAACATACTACATTATCATGCTCAGTTCAGTAGAGTCATGGCTACTGCAGTGCAATAAGGGTTAAAGTTGAGTTATTTAAATATATTTGACAGTTTTTGTAATTTTACTTTTTTTTGTTTGTCAGATCCCAGAGCTGATTGAAGCCATAGAAAATGTCTTGTCCAACCAAAGTTTCCTAAATCTTGAAGTGGATAAAAAGTTCCATCAGAAAAGGGTGAAGAGACTGAGGGAATTGGCCCTGGATAGAAACTTCCTTGCAGGTTGGAGCTAAATACATTTGTAGCATGTGATATTTTAACTATTTAGGGGTTTAACCTCTCTTTAAAGTTTACTATAACCACTGAACAAAATTGTATCTCATTTTTTCATGTTATATTACTTAACTCAAATTATTACCTCTTGTCTTGGTTCAGATATCTCATTTGAAGTGGATAATGGTATTGTATTTGCACATAAAGCTCTTCTGATGGCCAGATGTGAAATGATGTATGCTATGTTTAACAATGATTTTATTGAATCAGCTTCTGATGTTGTAAGTGGGCTTCTTTTACCAAATCTTAGAAAAAATTAAGACCATAAGAGCTTCTGAAGTTCTAAAAAAAATAGACAATATAAATTTTAAAAGGAGAGTATTAAGAACAAATAAACTTTTAATACTTCTAATGTGTTTTTCGTTTACATCACCACATTTTAAATTAAATAAATTTCAAAAGTTGAGAATCTTTAGAGCAATATTTAATTTAATATTAGGAAATAAAAAATATTTCTGCTAATGATTCTTGTGAATTGCTTCCCAGATTCCCTTCCCTGGCATTACAGTGAGAACGTTCAGGGCCCTGCAAGAGTACCTGTACACAGGGGAGTCCCCTTGTATGGAGGAGGTTGACTGTATCACCCTGATTGAAGTGGCCAACAGGCTGTGCCTGCCTCGACTGGTCAACATGGTGGAGGCCTCCGTGGTGGATGAACTGCTCACCTACGAGCAGGACGAGATGTTGCAGGATGCTATATTGCTTCTAGAACCATCTGAGGTGTGTTGTTGTCCTTCCAGTTTGTTATCAGTATTCAAGGCTTTCTGACTTTTTATTCTCCTATACTAAATAAAGCTTCAAAAACATGTATTCCAACACTCAGAACCTTTATGCATTGTTTAATGCATTGTTTAAAGCTGGGTTTACATGTAGATCTTATGCTGTTAGTTAAGCATTGTTTGTAACCTTCTATAGGCCTAATGTATTTCTTAAAGCTGGGTTCACATGCAGAACCTATGCAAGTGCTGTTTGTTAAGCATTGTTTGTAACCTTGTATAGACCTAATGTATTCCCCTACACTAAATAAAGCTTCAAAAACATGTATTCCAACACTCAAAACCTTTATAGACCTAATGCATTGCTTAAAGCTGGGTTCACATGTAGATCTATGCTTATGCATTGTTTGTAATGTTCTATAGGCCTAATGTATTCCCTAAAGCTAGGTTCACATGCAGAACTTATGCAAGTGCTGTTAGATAGGCATTGTCTTGTTAAATATATACACTGAGTGTTTCTTATCTGATCACCCACAGACCTAAACAGTATGTTTCAGGTTTATTCTCTTTGGGTCTCATTGGTAGTGTAAGGATAAGGGTCATAGGACTAGACAGAGGGTTAGTGTAGTGATGCCAGTATTTTTGTTGGTTAAGGCCAAGTTTAATTTTAGGTAACAGTATATCCCTGTTTGATCCACTCTGGTTGGTACCCAGGTAATTGAACGCAGATATATCAGTCCAACAAACATTACAACAGGGGGTGTTACTCTAACAATATTACAATTAATGACTGGCATGGTTTGCTCCCCTGTATATTTTGACTTGCTACAATATCCTTTTCTTGTTGTAATTATTTTTTCTCTCTCTCTCTCCTACCTACCAGTTATATAATGCAAAACAGCTGTCAAAGTTCTGTCAGTACATACTGAGCATCAACTTCCGGGATGTCACACAGAGGCACCACAAGTTGTTCCATGAGCTGCCCGCTGACAAACAGGAGTTGATTGAACAGAAACAGTGGCCTCCAGTGTGGTAAGTTAATTGTCAGTCATCCTGCTTGGTTTGTTTTCATTACTCATTTATCTGGCTACAACAGGTCTTGTGAAAACGTAATTTATGCCCTCTTATAAATACTATTTATATTAATATTTGATTTTGGATATAAGTAACTGGTAATCACTGCTGTGGATGAAGAAGAGTTTGTTTTTATTGACACCAGCATATAGTAAATTTTTCTGCATATTATTCAGTTTATTTAGATGTTTATTATTTGTAGATGTGTTTTCATTTTTTTATTTATATTATATTTTATTAGGCATTGTTAGTTTTGTTTCATAATTATAGTTGTAAAATTTAGCTACTCCAACATATAAGTTGTAAAGGCTATTATCTTGATGACTGCAGGTATGAGAAAGAGTTGGAACAGTACAACAGTCTAAGCCAGCCCCTGTCAGCTTGCCAGCAAATGGTGGCCAAGAGCTGCAATAAGAACTGGGGGTGCCTGTGCTTCATACGGAGGGGTAAACGTGAAATATGTTAAAAGTAATTGTATTTCAGAGATTTACTGCTAATATGGTTATAATAATTTAGACTATTGTTTATTTATTCTTCACCATATGTGTATTTTTTTTATTTAAAAAACCATTTAAAGTGCACTTATATTGCTTGCAAAATGTATGGATATATCTGTTCTAAATAAGAATAACATGGTATTAAAAAAAAATTTATTGATAAATTAGTATTAAAGTTGCTGAAAAAGTATTGATACCTATTTACAATGTACATTCTTTTTTGCTTTCATTGCATTTTAACGTGTACAGAATTTGTTTTAAAATCTCTGGAAACTGAGCATTTACTGTTTGTGTTGCATGTAATTATTGCTTATCATGTTTATTTACATTGTTTTCACTTTTCTCAAACAATGTAATAACAGAATTCATCATCATTTTGTTCACCAGTTACAGTTGCTCATCAATTAAATGTAATTGTTTTAAAAACTCTTACAACTATTATACATTTTACATTATTTTATCATGTAAAATCTCATTTTGGAAACTTTTCTTTTAGGACAAAAGTCTCTTCTTACATATTTTTTTTTCTAAGTAAATCTTTAAAAGTATTTTCATGAGTTATTTTCCATGACGCATAATATAATAAAGAACTAGGGATGTTAACATATCCCTATCACAGACACGGCATAGCACCTCATTTACTCTTGCACCATGTAAACTATACATGTCTAGGAAGACAACTTGCAAAAAGTTAAAAAATACATTTTCCCACGGGATATGCATATTGCTGCTTTTTTTCTTCTAGACATATAAATGTTGCAAGTGTGACTTGACTTAGTCCTCTTTGCTCCTTATGGAACATAGGGCCTCCACCATTTCCTTCCATTTCTTCCTATCCCCGGCTATTAATTTTGTCATCTCCCAAGACATAAATGTTGCAAGTGTAAACGAGGTAAAACATTTACATCTTGTCAGGTGATAACCAAGATTTCTTTACCTGCACCAAAGTCTCATCAGTTTTATCTACCCAAGTTTTGTCTAGTTTTTGTGTGTGTTCATGTGTAATATTTGTTTCTACCCCACAAGAATGTCACAATTTCATTTGAATATATTTAATTAAATTTGATACTTGATTTATTTTACTTAAAATTTTAAAAAATACTAATTGTGTATAATGAGTTAAAATCATGAGTGCTTTTTAAATTGCATTATATTTTTATACCGACATTTAAAAAAAAAAATACTGTTTGTATACCATGGACAATGTTAGCAGCAAAATTTACTGTTAAATGGCTATTTCTGTTTTGTTTTTTTTAAATGTGTTACTTTGGTTCTTTATTAGTTTTGATTGTCTCCCTGTTTCAATAGAAACTGCCAAAGAGTGATGTGGATTTTCCATTCCTGTTAAATTTTAAATTATATTTTTTCTATTCAAATTTATACAAAAATATTTTTTTTAATTTTTATAATAGCTCCAACTTGGTAAAGCTGTTTTTTTTTTTAAAATCTCATGCTGCTAAATACTGTAAATAATTTTATGGAAGTTTTTTTGTGTGATTTGATGAGCTTTTCCTCTATTACTGCATTTCTGCTTGCTGAGGTTTCTCATAGAATGATCATGACTTGTTTTATATTCTAGATACTGTGATTCATCATTGTGTCTGCAAACGTATAATTTTACCTCTTTCTGTGAGATTCAAATGCCATAATTATTTTTGTGTGAATTTATACAGATTACAATTTTTTGCTCATTCTGTTGCCTTTAAACAAGTTTTACACTGAAAGAGATTTACAATCTATAGAAAGCATTTATTTTTAAATTTGTATTGCCCATGATTGTGGACATATTTCCCCAGCAAATACCATTATATTTTTGTAATGCTAAAACCAACAGTTAAAAATTTCCAATAATTTAAAAAATGTTCTTGTGATCAGTGTACATCCATTATTATTTTTTTTGTATTCTACATACATTCTTAATTAATGCCAAGTATGCAAAATTTTTAAAAAATTAATTTTATGATTTGCAAGCACTGCAAACCACATATTACCAATTTATACTTTTATGTTGGGTTTCCAAAATATAAATGTATATACTTAGTTCACTTTTTTTTATACTATCAGAGGTCAAAGGGTACATCTTCACATTTTGTTTTGGAATTTTTTTTGGAAGAAAAATAAGAATAGTCAGCCAAAGAAGCAGAAACCCAAATGAGACGTAAATACTATTTTATTTTTAAATTTGTTCAATGGCAAAGCAGTCTTTTACCTGCAAACCTTACCCGCAAAATGTCAATAAAGGTTTACAAAATGAAAAGGCGATTGTGTTGTTCGGTTTTAATTTGTTTATGTGATGGAGAATAAGTATGTTAGTTACACGTATGTAGTAATAATGAGATTAGTCCCTTAAAAATTATCATACTGTAACTGTCACTGGAGATATTATCTGGAGGAATGCAATACAAAGAATGGTCACATTTTAATCACAGAAATGTTTATAAACAGCTCATAAATAATCAAGCACATAGCTATGATTTTGCAAAGTAAATAAATTTAATGCCACATTTCTAAAACATGAATTTACATTTAAAAAGAAAACAAAAAATAATCATACAGATGTAGAGGAGGCTGCCCGTTGTGAATTTTTGGTTATTTCTGGTGTATTTTCTTCTGTTGTCTCATTACCTTTTCCCTCGACCACAGGGGCTTCATTGCTAACTTCTTCATTCGGACTAACATTATTAGAATCTTCTTTCTTACTGTCATGATGAGGGATTTCTTCCTTACTGTTATTGTCAGGGACTTCTATTATCTTGTCATTTTCCCCCGCAATCGATGGTGTAAGACAGGCATACTCATCCATAATACTTGCAGACATAAATGAACCAGGATGGATACTAGTAGGATGGATTTGAAATTGGGTGTTAGTTTTAGAATTATAAATTTCCTGGATTATATATATATATATACATATATATATATATATATATATATATATATATATATATATATATATATATATATACATTTTGCTATAATTGGTGAGGGTTTAAAAACAAATGCAAAGGCCTTGACAATCAATAAAATAAAATAGTGACAGCAGATATGCAGCTCTAACAGATTGCTACAAGTGCAAGGCTTATTTCCCTTGATTGATAAGTTTATAGCATACTCACCAATCTTTCTCCTCATCTACGTATAATAAGCTACTGTAAAAACAAACAAAAAACATTGCAATGTCAGTGTTTACATTTGCAATCTGTGACTAACAAGCAGGGCCGGCGCTACCTATAAGGCGAACTATGCGGTCGCCAAAATGGGTTGGAAAAACGAATTGAAAGTTTGAGGGGGGGGGGGGGGCGCTTTTAAGAAGTTTTGCCTAGGGCGCTAAATAACCTGGCGCCGACACTGCTAACAAGTCGTGTAATAAAATATTAAATTTTAAGAAAATAGCAATATAGATGAAATTATTGTATAGCTTTTGTTGTAGACCAATGATCCACCCAATTCTGAATGTCAGTTTTTAAATGAAAAATTGAGTTTACTACTCGAACGAACAATACTTAGTGTACACTGGTTTAGTGAGAGCTAAATGGTTGTAGTTAAGTGTTAGATCACCATAATCCTGAGTTAACTGTTACATCACCGTAATCCTGAGTTAACTGTTACATCACCACAATCCTGTTTGCCCACCATACTGAAATAAAACACACCACTCAACACAAACAACCACCCAGGCAGCCGAACGGTCTCAGAACGGCCCCTCACCTGAACCTTCTGCTGTGTTTAACCATAAACGCTTCCCTTGCCTTGATTATTCCCACTGTGGTAGGGACTAGGAAAAACACGGTACAGCCCATGGTGAACCACCAGCCGCACTGAAAAGAAACAAGGGACAGTACTCTAAAAGAAGCAAGGGGCAGTACTCTAAAAGGCGAGGTTTAGATGTTAAGTGGTGGGGTTTAAAAGGTAACAGGTCACGCTCATTTAAACAATACAGGATATTCGATGGTGAGTTATGGTTTGTTGGGTCTAGGACATTACCCCCCCCTCATTACACCCGGACATTCCCCCCCAACAATACCGCAGGAGTAATTACCCCCCCCCCCCCCGCCCTCCTCTTATCCCGAAGAACCCTGACCCTTCCCTCAAACCTATAGCTAACCCTAACCCCAATATTAATCCTAACACCAGCTCTAAACCTAACCTAACCTTGACCCAAACCATAACCCTACCCTTAACTGGGCGGGGTGGTATTTGACAAGGAGAGGGGGGGGGGGGAGAATGGTTCTGGTGTATATCGAGAGAGGGTGTCCGGGGGTAATAAACGGTGGGGGTGGAAATGTCCTTCTCCTAATTTGGGTCCTGTAGGAATGGAACTCAGACTTCCGTAATTTTACTTATGATATATTGGGTGGAATTGTGATCCCCATAGTTGAATTAAAAACTGCACAAAAATGTGTAATGCCTAATTGTGTTGGGATTTGTGCTTGTGTGAAAAAAAAGGGGGGGTCTTAGTTTTTACAAATTACGTTCTGTTCAATGGAAATATTGGACAATAGTAGTTTGATAAATATTCCCAATTTCGTAGTTTATATAAATTATAATCTCTACAATATAGCTGATAAGTGCATGATCCCTAAAATGTGCACGATCCCGAATTTGAGCATGATCCCTAAAATGTGCACGATCCCGAATTTGAGCATGATCCCTAAAATGTGTATGATAGCTAATAGTGCATTATCCCTATATTGAGCACAATTTTAATATGTTCCCTTTTCTCTATATGTGCCTGATCCTTTATATGTGCCTGACCCTATTTATGTGCCTGACCCTCTATATGTGCCTGATCCTCTATATGTGCCTGATCCTCTATATGTGCCTGATTCTATATATGTGCCTGATCCTCTATATGTGCCTGATCCTCTATATGTGCCTGGCCCTCTATATGTGCCTGATCCTCTATATGTGCCTGATCCTCTATATGTGCCTGACCCTCTATATGTGCCTGATCCTCTATATGTGCCTGACCCTCTATATGTGCCTGATCCTCTATATGTGCCTGATCCTCTATATGTGCCTGACCCTCTATATGTGCCTGACCCTCTATATGTGCCTGATAATCTATATGTGCCTGATCCTCTATATGTGCCTGACCCTCTATATGTGCCTGACCCTCTATATGTGCCTGATCCTCTTTATGTGCCTGATCCTCTATATGTGCCTGACCCTCTATATGTGCCTGATCCTCTATATGTGCCTGATCCTCTATATGTGCCTGGCCCTCTATATGTGCCTGATCCTCTATATGTGCCTGATCCTCTATATGTGCCTGATCCTCTATATGTGCCTGATCCTCTTTATGTGCCTGATCCTCTATATGTGCCTGGCCCTCTATATGTGCCTGACCCTCTATATGTGCCTGATCCTCTATATGTGCCTGGCCCTCTATATGTGCCTGACCCTCTATATGTGCCTGATCCTCTATATGTGCCTGGCCCTCTATATGTGCCTGATCCTCTATATGTGTGAGCGGCTGGAGTGTGTTTCTGTTATTATAATTATTTGTAACTAAAAAGGTGAATGTCACTTTTTATGTTCCTTTGAGGATTGTTGTGGTTTTTAGTTAAGTAGTCCGCTATTATGGCGCTGATATGATTTTTATTTTAAAATGATTGCTAGCCTGGTTATTGTGTCTTGCTTATATTTTGATGTTATTATTTATGCAAACTTTGTTTTGGAGTGTGGCTCCACTTTGCTTTATATCCTGAATGTAAGTTATTGTTGTATTAGGGACTATTTTCTTGTGCGTAGCTTTGGTTTCTTTGTTCGTAGTATTGGTTTCTTTGTTCGTGAATGTGGTGTGTCGACAGGGAGGGACATTCGGCTGGAATGTCGAGGCCTGTGTGTTGAAGAGTTTCTGTGTCACGTTTATGTGGTGACAGTGGTCCGAAATTGGGTGTTTTGTTTCGTTGAGTTCTGTTTGTTTTGTATGTCTTGAGTGTTTTATTTTGTCTAGATCTAGATTCTGTTTTTTTTTATAATAACTTTTGGTTCCATATTTATTATTTTGTTAAATAAATTTTATTATATTGTTTAAGTTTTTTTGTTTTATTTTAGTAGTTTTTTTATTTTAGACTAAGGTTAGGTTATTAACCAGTCTGGGTTTAGCCGGGCTTGCACTGACCGGACAGTAGTTAGTTAGATAAGCCTAGGGTAGGATAGATTGTAAGGTATCCCCCCCCTAGCAGGGCTTACACCAATTTGTAAGCCCTGCTAGGGGGGGGGGGATACCTTACAATCTATCCTACCCTAGGCTTATCTAACTAACTACTGTCCGGTCAGTGCAAGCCCGGCTAAACCCAGACTGGTTAATAACCTAACCTTAGTCTAAAATAAAAAAACTACTAAAATAAAACAAAAAAACTTAAACAATATAATAAAATTTATTTAACAAAATAATAAATATGGAACCAAAAGTTATTATAAAAAAAAACAGAATCTAGATCTAGACAAAATAAAACACTCAAGACATACAAAACAAACAGAACTCAACGAAACAAAACACCCAATTTCGGACCACTGTCACCACATAAACGTGACACAGAAACTCTTCAACACACAGGCCTCGACATTCCAGCCGAATGTCCCTCCCTGTCGACACACCACATTCACGAACAAAGAAACCAATACTACGAACAAAGAAACCAAAGCTACGCACAAGAAAATAGTCCCTAATACAACAATAACTTACATTCAGGATATAAAGCAAAGTGGAGCCACACTCCAAAACAAAGTTTGCATAAATAATAACATCAAAATATAAGCAAGACACAATAACCAGGCTAGCAATCATTTTAAAATAAAAATCATATCAGCGCCATAATAGCGGACTACTTAACTAAAAACCACAACAATCCTCAAAGGAACATAAAAAGTGACATTCACCTTTTTAGTTACAAATAATTATAATAACAGAAACACACTCCAGCCGCTCACATACACGCCCCTTAAAGCTTGCGGTCACCGCAAGCTAAATAACTTGAAAAAAAATCAGCCCACAGGGCATAATCATAAATGTTACAAAAATACAAAAACTTTGCACAATCACAATTTTTGCAAAAGAACTTGCAAAAAAATCAGCCCACAGGGCACAATCATAATTTTTGCAAAAGAACTTGCAAAAAAATCAGCCCACAGGGCACAATCATAAATTTTACAAAAAACAAAATTTTGCAAAAAAATCAGACGATGTGGCTGTAGCAGCCGGCGGTACAACTTTGACCGGCCTTGGGAGGGCGGTTGAGCCTTGGG